TAGAGTGGCCGCCGTATATTGAAAATTAGTACCTTTCCCTTCACTTGGGACTTCACTGTAATTTGCAACATTGGGTCATATGGGTTGAACTTAGACCAGGATATTCATTGCATGACTTGACGCCACCTACAATTAACTTGTTCTCTCACATCGATGCAGAAGGTGATCTTGGACATTCTCTTGGATTTATTAAGAAAGAATTGAGTTATAATAATACCAACCACTTGAACGTTAATGAAGACCAAAGTTATTTTAATTTACTAACTTAGAAATCACAGCTGATATCAACAGAATTTTTACAGAACAGAACAGAGACTAACCATTATTCAACTACCAAATTCTTTTAAGTATTGGCTTCTCCTAACAATTTAGTCTGAATGGGACCTTAACCCCCAGCTCCCATTGTCAGAGTTGCCTAATAAAGTACCTCACTAACAAAAAAAACTCATACAAGATTAATATACTGGGGGTAGATTTGTGACACTCACTCTTTGTGTTGCCTGTGGGTAGAGTAGCTAAAAACCTTACCCAAGTACAAGTATTGTTATTGCAAAACAATTTCTGAAATGTAAGTAAATTATTCATCAAAATAAATACTTGAATAAACAGAAGAAAGAAAGTATCAAGCAAAAATACTACTTAAGTAGCAAGTTACTAGTTACATAGGTCTGATTTAAATGTTTAAATCAGGGGTCAGTGATCTTATCCACAAGGTTTTTTGGGATAACCTTCAAGTCAGCTGTACAAACCCTGGTGTGAAGACCTAATTAGGGAGCTGCAGTAAAAACTGCACACACAGCAGCCCTTTCTGGATAAGAATGCCTAGCCCTGGTCTAGACGAACAACAAAGACCGCATAATGAAAATAACTAAGCCTGAAATTATTTAAAGACCTGTATTTAAACACATGTAAGGAACAGAATACGCATCTCAAATCAAGAGGTAATAAACAGAAATAAATCCAAACATTTCAATATATAAAATATAGCACAAATTCAATAAATTAAATAGAATTTTAAAAATCAATAAATAAAAAATGGAAGATAATAGGTAATAAACATACATACATAATTACTACATAATACAGAAAGCATATCTGTTTCATAATTATTTTGTGTGTGATTTCACCTACAGAAGAATTTACTACAAGGAAGAATATGGTGCGTGTTAAACTAGGGCTTTAAACCAAGAATAAAACATTTCAAGCTGTCACTTATGTGTATGTGTGCATGTGAAATAGGCAGAAAAGCCAGACTTAGGTCAGATTAAGCTGGATCCACATGTATTACCCTGGGGACAGTGTGGGACAAGACACTCGCGATTTTGGCCGTTTTCAAATGAGGGTCATCAGAAGATGCTTTTCGCTGCATGGGTATGAAAATGCCTATGGATGTAATTTCAACTTAATGCAATGTGTTTTGGTAGATTTCAATTTGCGTTTTTGAATGCAGGAATGTCAAACATTTTTGGCTACCATGAAAGGATTGCATCAGATGTGGATCTGATCTCATGTTAGACAGTGAAAACATTGCATTAATGTGGGACCAGGGATTTTCTGTCTCATTCCTTACTTCCGCCGTCTCTGAGAGAGTGCGACTGGTGACATTTAATTTTCAAGATTTTCTTTTCTTGTCCCACCACACTCACTCTTGCGCATGCCCGTCCCGGACACCTGCATAGCACCCCACCCCCTACAGAGCGTCTGTTACTCCTCATACTGTATAACCCACAGTAACTTTAGGAACCCCACTGATGGAAGATGCTACTCTGCCCCCTGCCTTGTAATTCCTCAGTTAAAGTTTTGCCACCATACTGAACTCCTCTGTAGAGGGAATGCAGAGAGCTGGGACAATAGAGCCCTCAGAGAGCCCGTGGGCGTCACCAGTGGTCATGGTGCCCAAGAAAGAGGGGAAGTGGCGTTTTCGCTTTGACTTCAGGCAACTTAAAAAAATGACTAAGGCTGTAGTGATGTATGTCAGGATGAGTCCCTCTCCAATGTCTGTTCCCTATTTGGCCAGCAGGGGTCGCTGGCCATCCCGTGTAGCTCCAAATGTGTTCTCCTGTTCCCCAGGTTGCCTTGTGGCTTAATGGGCTACGTAGGCACCTGTGTCACCCAGGCTCCCTTTTCAAAATTATGGTCTTTGGGTTATTTTTCATGGTCCCATGTTTTGCTCCCTGTTCTGTTTTGCAGTATTATTCAGTTACCTTTGTAATCCTAGTCTGCCTTAGTGTTTGATTGCCCTCGTCTGTGCTTGTGTTCCTAGTCCTTGTTACTGCCCACACCCGTTTCTTGTTGATCCTCATCAGGTATGTATTTAAGTGCCTGCTCCAGTTTAGATGTACATGCTGGGTCAGTTCCTGTGTTTGTTCCTGTGTTACTCCCTGATTTAGTTTTTCTTCGCCACCTGCCTGTGTTTAGACCCTTGTGGTGTCTTTTGTTTTGTCCAATCTTACTAATAAAACCTCAAGCTGCACCCTGGNCACAACCTTCCGGACATGGGCACAGATCCCACCCACTGAGCTGCACATCACCCTCACATAAACATGGTATTTGCTGCAGTACTGTCATTCCCGGTAAATTATTACCAGAGAGGAAAACAGCACTTGCTGACATAGAAATTTTACACATTACAGATCATGTGACTCACATATGCTGGAAACACCACATCACTTACTGCCAAAGAGCACCCCACACACATCTAACATGAGGGGGCTCGTCTAATGAACTTAACCCCCCACGCCTGTCTGGTGTGACTGCCATGGAAACAATCAGCTATAATTTGCAGAGACATGCTCAACTACAAGAAGTAGTGACCTTACAGGCTGGCTCATTTGCTGTCGCTGGTTGAATCGTAACTTTTGTTTACTAATCCAAATAGGATATTTCCAAAGTCTACTTTCCAAAGGACACTGTGGGCAACTAGCATGATCATGGTGAAGCCATGGATAATGTTTAATAAATCAGTTCATTAAAATGCTGAGCTTCATGTCATCAGGAACAAAACAGTCGTTTAACCTCATGTCATCATACGTCTTTAGGTCATTTTCCCCACATAAACTTTTGGATTCGTCCTAAAATGACACTGTCCCTAAACACAGAAGAGCAGATTAAAATATGCGAAACAGGAAGAAATCATCTAATGTAACTAAAGCTACAATACTATAATTTATTTAGGTTAATGTAATTCCTAAATGGCATAATCTGTGCTACAGTAACTCTACTCATTTACATTCATTTATTCAGCAAAACTTCTGTCATTATACAGCTGAGGGTCAGTGAGCAGGTTTGGCCAACATCTCTGAGGGAATCAGGGCTGAGGGCCTTGCTTAAGGGTCCAACACTGATATAACTTCCCCCACAGCCTTTGAGATTAGAACCCACAACCTTCTGGACATGGACACAGAACCCAAACCCATGGAGCTGCACACCATCTAACATATTGCCATACCCACTCTATAGCTATAGTTCAGTGCCTCTGTGAACCAACCCAATGCAATATCCTCACTCTAAAGAACATCTGCTGAGAGGTTCCAGGCACACCTTAACAGTTAACTTTTTTCTTTTCTGACAGCTGAGAGGAGCCATTACCTCTGGCCTAAAACAATGTAAAATTCACTGCACTTTTAAAAAATACCTGACATCAGGTTATGTACCACATATGAACACATAAAGAAAGAAAAAAAGTAGCTTTAGCAAAAACTGTCAGATAATGAGCTAAATGTAAATGCATAGGGCTCAGGAGAAGCTGACCGAACAAGGCTGGGGGCGGCTGCGGCAAAAACCTACCCAGCTCATTCTGTCATTATATACTGCGCTTTTTCACCCTGCCTTTGCACAGGACGTTACCTTCAAGGTACCTTTGCCGCTCTGAAGGGAAACTCTGAACTTGCAAAGCTTTTCATCCTACAACATGTCACTGCTGCTGAATTTTCGGTCTGCCTCTGTCCCAGATGGATTAACATGACATATATTGTTTAAAAAAATGTCTCCTCTTTGCTAGAGTGTGAGGGGCACAGCAATCACAGAGCCTAATCTCCAACAATCCTCTTAGCATCCGACTCATGCTATTTCTGGGCACTTCTTCACCACAGGAAGTGATGCAACCGGAAGGTTCACTGTGTGACAAATCTATGAATGTCTCCCTGGGCTTCTTCCGTTTTTTATTCTTTTT